ACCAATTTAGGTATTTAACCTAAAAAAATATGTTAACTGACGTTAGCATTATCACCAATTAATCCTTAAATAGAAAAAGTTAAAAATTGACATTCTTAAATAGAAAAAGTTAAAAGTTGACATTCTTAAATAGAAAAAGTTAAAAGTTGACATTCTTAAATAGAAAAAGTTGAAACTTGACATTCTTAAATAGAAAAAAATTGAAAGTTGATATCTTTATTTAGAAAATGACAAAGTTAACATCTTTAAATAGAAAAAAAGGGGTTAATTCAATTTTTAGTCTATTAACTATCACCTTGATTTGATTTTAGTCTAAAAACTATGTTTTATTTCTAAGTTATCTATTAACTTTCGGATTTATTTCAATTTCGTCTACCTGGTTATCTTTGACGGAAAACTTACTATTCTGTTAGAGAACAGGTAATCCTCTAACTATATTTGTTTTGATCTTTTAGTCCTCAAATTTATATTTACTGTAAAAACAGCTTTTATACTTAAAATTATTATTTCTATGCTCTGATACTAGATTTTTATTCGAGTTTTCAGAACTTAATTCAGACTACTATTAACTAATGAATAACTGATAATATTTTAAAAATAGAAACAATTAATGAAAATACCCTAAGAAGAATTAAAGAAATGGGAAAATCTATTTCTCAAGAATTTGATTCTATTAAAGAAAGAATAAATAATGTTAAAAACTCGAGAAAATTGAAAGAAATAAAAGAAGAAATAAGGTCTATTAAAGACATTAAAAGCAATCGCTGAAAAATTTGCAATCAAATCGTAAAAATATATAATAAAATAATTCTATAACTAGAAAGTGATATAGATAAAAATTTTTATAAGATCTAGACACAACTAGAAAGTGATTATTTTTGTTAGTAGTATAGTAGATCTAATTCCACACTAACTAAGCTTAACATATCAATTATTCATTAGTTAGTAGTAGTCTGAGTTAAGTTCTGAAAACCTGAATAAAAATTCAGTATCGGAGCCTAGAAATAATAATTTTAAGTATAAAAGTTGTTTTTACAGTAAATATAAATTTGAGGACTAAAAGATCAAAATAAATATAGTTAGAGGACTAACTATTCTCTAACAGAATAATAAGTTTTTCGTAAAAGATAACCAGGTAGATGAAATTGAAATGAATCTGAAAGTTAATAGACCACTTAGAAATAAAACATAGTTTCTAGACTAAAATGAAATCAATGTGATAGTTAATAGACTAAAAATTGAATTAAGCCTAGAAAAAAATGCAAAGTTAGAATCCTTATTTGCACCTTTACTCTAACCATGACTAAGGAAGTTAAATTCATTACATTGATAAATTCTAACATCATTCTATTTATATGATTTACATCTGCATTTTTTGGTGT